GTGGGACTTGGGCCATAATGGGGGTCCCCAGAGGGGTCCCAGTGCCCAGGGCTGCGTCCCCACGGCCAGTGCTGGGATGTGGACCCGGGGCAGGTGAGGCTCCCAGGCACAGCCCCGGCACTCAGGGCTGCCCCCGAGGTGCGACGCGGCCCCCAGCGTCCCCAAGACGAGCGACAGACCCCAACTGCAGTCCCTGCAGCCCGCGACAATCCATCCCTGGGCTCAATCCCAAAGCTCAGTTCCCCCAAAGCGGGCGACGTTTCCGGGCGCGGTCCCAATGGCAGTGACATTCCTGGGCTCAGTCCCCCATGGCAGTGACATTCCTGGGCTCCGTCCCCAGCTGCGGTCCCGGACGCGGTACCGAAGGTGGTCGCGGTGCCCAAGGAGGGACGCGGAGCCCAAATCCCGTCGCAGTGTCCCTGAGGTAGGTGCAGCCACGCGTCGGGCGGCTCAGACCGAAGACTCCTCGGGGTTGGAGTCGGGCAGGGGCTGACGCTGCTGCAGCTTTCGGCGCAGCTCCTCGGCCAGCTCGGCGCACGGCGGCCGCTCCTCGGCACCCAAAGCCAGACGGATGTAGCCGTTGGAAGAGGAGCCGCGCAGAGGACCCAGGTGGATGCGGGTGGGAGAATGCAGCGGTTGCCCGGGGATGGCGGCCGGTGGCGAAGCTGCACCGGGCGGGCCGCCGTTACGGCACACGGCGTGACCCGGCACGATCTTGAGCGAGCCATCCGAGCAGTAATAACTGGACGGGTCCCACAGCTTCTCGTCCGAATCCGACGTGGCGCTGGGCACGAAACGCGGGCTGTGCGGCTCCTTGGGCAGCTCGATGGGGTACACCAAGGTGCTCTCGATGGCCTTGGCTCCTTTCCCCAACTCCTCGCGCAGCCTCCTCCAAAGCGACAGCACGGCCAGCAGCAGCACCAAACACGCCGCACCCAGACAAACGGCCACGACCCACGCCAGCCCGGCGCTTTCCAGCGGCGCCCGCGTCTCCTGCGGTGCTCCGGGCAGCACGGCCACCCGGTACGCCTCTCCGCCCAGCCGGGCGCCGCGCTCCTCCGCCACGCAGCGGTACGTGCCGCTGTGCTGCGCCCCGGCGCCCGGCACCACCAGAGCGCGGAGGTGGCCGTCGTGCAGAACCAGCGCCTGTTGGGCCGGCAGAGCGCGACCTTCGAAGGTCCACAGAGCCTGAGCCAGGTTGGAACCCAGGCGGCACGTCAGGACCAGGTCGGTGCCCGCTGCCACCGTCACGTTCTTGGGGGTGATGGCACCTGTGGGGAAGGGATGGAGGCGGGGGTGTCCCCGATGTGCCACCTCCGTGGGGGGAATTGGGGTGTTTCCACTGTGCCACGGATGGATGGAGGTGGGGTTTCCCCACCATGCCGCCTCCCGTGGAGTTTGGGAGTCTCCCATGTGCCATTTCCCGTGGAGGGAGGTGGGTGTCCCCACCACGTCACCTCCCATGGATGGATGGAGTTGGGTGTCCCCAGCGTGTCACCTCTGTGGAGCTGGGAGTCTCCCATGTGCCATTTCCCATGGATGGAGTTGGGCTGTCCCCTCTACGTCATCTATCATGGAGTTGGGTGCCCCCATGTGCCACCTCCCGTGGAGTTGGGGTGTCCTCCATGTGCCATTTCCCATGGATGGAGTTGGGGTCTCCCCACCATGTCACTTATCATGGAGTTGGGGTCTCCCCACCATGTCACTTATCATGGAGTTGGGAGTCCCCCATGTGCCATTTCCCACGGATGGAGAAGGGATGTCCCTTCTGTTATCTATCATGACATTGGTTTCCCCACCGTGCCATCTCCCATGGACAGAGTTAGGATGTCCCCCACCTTTCCACCTCCTATAGAGTTGGGTGTCCTCACCATGCCACTTCCCATGGAGTTGGCTGCCCCCGTGTGCCACCACCATGGATGGAGTCGGGCTGTCCCTCCCATGCCACCTCCCACGGATGAAGTCGGGGTCTCCCCACCATGTCACCTATCATGGAGCTGGGTGCCCCTATGTGTCACTTCCCACGGACAGCTGTGTTCCCCCACACTGTGCCACCTCCCACCACATCCCCACGTCCCCTCTCACCTTGTGTGCCCACCAGCGGCATGGCGCAGGCGCGCGTGTCGGAGCCCAGCACGTCCTGCACCAGGTGAGACCTGCAGGACGAGGAGGAGGAGAAAGAAGAAGAAAAGATGAGGAAGGCTCCGCAGCACAGCGCAGAACCCCAGGGCCACCTCCTTACCCATTGAGGCCATCAGAGCGCACGCAGCGGCTGCCGTTGCGGCTCCATGCGCAGTACGGATCCCGCGCCAGGACGCAGTCAGCACAGGACTGGTAGCGGCCGCAGTCGGCCACGGGCAGCTGGGCCACCTGGAGCCGTGAGCCAGCAAACAGCAGCTTCTGCAGGCACACAGATGGGTGCTGAGGGGACGCCCCTGGGGCTCAGAGCCCAGCGGTGCCACTGCTCTCACCTTCCGCCCCGCCAGCACCAGGCTCTCCACGGGCTGCGCCGGCTCGAAGACCTGCAGCTCCTCCACCAGGTGGACGTGGGAGCCCAAATTCAGCGCCTTGTGCACCCAGCCGTCACCTGCGAGGCAGGGCATGCAGCAAACACCGTCCCCAGCTCAGCACCCAGCTCTGCGCCCCTCTCACCGTACCTGTGCCGACAAACAGCACCTCATAGACGGCCCCGTCCAGCCCTGCCACGCGGTCCACCACCAGCTGGGTGAAGTTGGAATCCTTCTTGAGCAGCAGCGGGCGGCCGCGCTGCGGCAGGACGGGCTCATCCATCAGCGGGTGCTTCTTGGCAAAGTTGAGTGTGTTGTCAGGCAATGCCAGCGAGCTGGGGAAGCCGTTCTGCCGGTGCCAGTCGGTGATGCACTGTGGGCAAACAGCACAGTCAGACACCCGTGTCCCCATGGCCCCATTTCCTCATGTCCCCATGGCCCCACATCCCTGTGTCCCAGCGTCTCCACGTCCCCACATCCCCATTTCCCCATGGCCCCGCAGCCTCACATCCCCATGTCCCCATTTCCCCACGTCCCCACATCCCTGTGTCCCATTTCCCCACGTCCCCACATCCCTGTGTCCCAGTGTCCCCATGTCCCCATTTCCTCATGTCCCCATGTCCCTACATCCCTGTGTCCCCATGGCCCCACATGCCTGTGTTTTTGTGTCCCCAAGTCCCCACGTCCCCACATCCCCGTGTCCCCATGTCTCCATGTCCCAGTCTCTCAGCATCTTTGTCCCCACATCCCTGTGTCCCAGTGTCTCCATGTCCCCATTTCCTCATGTCCCCACGTCCCTACATCCCTGGGTCCCAGTGTCTCCATGTCCCCACGTCCCCATTTCCCCATGTCCCCACGTCCCTGTGTCCCAGTGTCCCCATGTTCCTCCATCCCTGTGTCCCCACAGCCCCACATGCCTGTGTTTCTGTGTCCCCACGTCTCCAAGTCCCCATGTCCCCACATCCCCGTGTCCCCATGTCTCCATGTCCCAGTCTCTCAGCATCCGTGTCCCCACATCCCTGTGTCCCAGTGTCTCCACGTCCCCATGTCCCCATTTCCTCATGTCCCCATGTCCCCACATCCCCGTGTCTCCATGTCCCAGTCTCTCAGCATCCCCATGTCCCCACATCCCCGTGTCCCTGTGTCCCATGTGGTCATTGGGGGCATTTGGAACCATGGAGATGTGGCACTGAATGATGTGGCATTGAGTATAGTGGGCTGGGCTGGGGATTTTCCACATCTCCATATCCCATACCCCATACCCCATACGCCATACCCCATACCCCATACCCCATATCCCATATCCCATATCCCATATCCCATATCCCATATCTTGTGTCCCCATATCCCCATCTCCAATATCCTCATCTCTCCATCTCCCACACCCTCACATCCCCGTGCCCCATATCCCCAAATCCCACACCCCCCATCACTCACCGCCCCAGGCCGTGGGCTGGGCACCTCATCCGAATACCGACCCCATTTCTGCGCCTGCTCCCGATACTCCTTATAGGGACCCTCAAAAGCCTTCTTCACCTCCAGGATGTGGTAGCGGCACACGGCTGACACGTCCACGTCCCCCCTGCACAGACAGACCCATCAGCGGGGCCCCGAGCCTGGAGACCCCCCCCAAACACCACACAATGTGTGCTCACCACCGTGCCTGGAACACCCCGAAGAAGGCTGTTTCCTGCCAGCTCACGCCAGGCAGGGTGAACACGGCCTGCAGGCGGTTGAAGTGCAGCTGCTGCTCCGGAGCAGAGCAGAGCAGCCGTGCCTTCAGGAACGTCGTCCATTTCTTCTGCAGCGTGCGGGCGCCGCCGACATCGCCCTGCATGTGAGCAGCACTGAGACCCCGGAATCCCTACAGGGCCACCCCATATCCTACAGACCTCTACAGGACCACCCCATATCCTACAGACCTCTGTAGGACCACCCCATATCCTACAGATCCCTATAGGGTCACCCCATACCTCACAGACCTCTATAGGACCACCCCATATCCTACAGATCCCTATAGGGCCACCCCATATCCTACAG